AGAAGGAAGACAAGAAGGTGGCTGATGCTGCAGCTGAAAGGAAAGAGGCTCTTAATGCTTTCATCAACAAAGGTAACAAACAAATCCTATCTATAGTTGATGAAAGTAATTTTTCTCTAGCTCAAATGGCTAGTGTGTTAGGTGTTAATTTAGGTTGTGCTCTAGAAGCTGTGGATACAAATCTGAACTTAATCAAAAATCTGGAATTGGCTAGGATAAATCTGTTCTTGAAAGAGAAACTAAAAACTTCTCAGAAAGGGGAGTGTGAAAATGTTGGGGAGAACTTGAGTGACATAGACATAAACATAGATGAAGTCTTACATTCAGATGATTGTATGTCTGATTTTGATTATGCTGAAAACATGTTGAGGCTTTCTCAAAGCAATTCATCAGGAAAAAAGAGGAGGAAAAATAATATATGAAACCTTGAGATTTTCAAGGTCACTCCTAAGGCTGCGTTCGAGCGCAGGAGAAAGAGAGAAAGATAGTTTTGTTTTCCGCGCGCACGCTTCCCGAACTACTAAACGGTGTTTTTTTTGCAAAAAATTTCTATAGGAAAGTTGCTTTAAAAAATCATATTAATCCATTTTTGAAGTTTAAAATAATTAATACTCAATTAATCATGTGCTAATGGCTCACCTCGTTTTGCGTATCTTCCCAATTTCCTCAATCCCCTCCTTCTCAAACACACCCTAAGTGTAGTGGCAAAAATGAGAAGAAAAAACAAAAAAGAAATCATGAAAGGTTTGTTTTGGAATATAAGAGGTATGGGTGATCATGATAAAATAAAGCATCTCAATGATTTAATAAAAGAGCATAAAGTTGATTTCATTGGCATCCAAGAAACTATGAAGCAGGATTTCACTGCTAAAGACTTGGATTTAATAGGAGGAGAGGGTAAGTTTAGTTGGAATTGGACCATTCCCAGGGGTAGATCTGGGGGTATGTTGGTGGGAATAAATGAAGACAAAATGGAAATTATGGAAGTTTCCAAGAAGAATTTTTTGTTACATGTTAAAGTAAAAAATAGAAATGACAAATTTGTGTGGAGATTAATAACTATGTATGGGGCTGCCCAGCCTGAACACAAGGAGGAGTTCCTGAGGGAGTTAGATCAGGATTGTTATGGGTGTGATGAACCCCTGTTAATTGGTGGGGATTTTAACATCCTGAGACAAGAGAATGAAAAAAAACAAGAAGGGAGGGGTGAATAAATGGAGTCTTATGTTCAATTCTATAATTGAGAATGCAAACTTGAGAGAGATGGCCTTGGAAGGGAAAAAATTCACTTGATTGGGCTAATAACAAACAAAGTGTAACTCTTGAAAAATTGGACAGAATTCTTTTTAATGATAAATGAGAGATTAATTCCCTTTGGCATGTGGAAGGGTCTTAGAGAGAATTTACTCTGACCACAGTCCTCTTTTGATCAATGTTGAGGGAGAAAAGTGGCAGTCTCCTCTGTTTAAATTTGAGAATAGTTGGCTCATAAGAGAAGATATTAATACTGTGGTTGAGCAAGTTTGGAAATCTTGTAATATAAATGGATCTAGTATTGATAAATGGCAATAGAGGCTACAAAAAATGAGAAAGAAACTAAAAGGTTGGAACATAAACTGGGAAGGGATGTACAAAAGGAAAAAACAGGAAATTATGGGAAAAATAGAAGACATTGATAAAAAATGTGAAGCATATGGAATGACTATTCTGGAAAGAAAAGAGAGGGGATTTGGAGGAAGAGTTGAAGAAAGTAATAAGAGAGGATAGATTGAAATGGATGCAGAGATGTAAAGAAAAGAACCTTTTGGAAGGGGATGATAACACAAAATATTACCAAGCTAAAGCTAATGGAAGGAAAAGAAAAAACATGATTTCTTCTCTGGATCAGGAAGAGGGGGAGATTAAAGGACAGAGTGATCAAAATATATAACAAATTTTTATAAACAACTTTTTGGTCCCCCTCCAGAGAATGATTTTACTTTGAATCTGGAAGGCATAGCTATGTTGAGGGAAGCTGAAAAAGAGAGAATAATCAGACCAATAGAAATGGAGGAATTGAAAAAAGTAGTTTTTGGGATGGAAAACAATAAGGCCCCTGGGCCTGATGGATTTCCTGTGGAATTTTATAAACATTTTTGGTATCTGATTAAGGATGACTTGATGGAACTAATCACAGATTTCATGAAAAGAAAAATTGGAGTTGAGAGATTAAATTATGGTGTTATAACTTTGATCCCTAAATGCAAAGAAGCAAGAATGATACAGAAATTCAGACCAATATGTATTTTAAATGTGAGTTTCAAAATCGTAACAAAAATTTTGATGGAAAGGCTAGCTGAGGTGATTGAAGTCTTGATTGCTTTGAATCAAACAGCTTTCTTAAAAAACAGATATATAATGAAAGGGGTTGTAACTATGCGTGAAATTCTGAACTCAATTCATAAAAAAAAACAGGCGAGAATTCTTTTCAAAATTGATTTCGAAAAGGCATATGATAACATTAAGTGGTCTTTTGTGTATAAAATGATGAAGGCCAAGGGATTCCCTGACATATGGTGTGATTGGATCTTGAAAGTGGTTAAAGGGGGGAAAGTGGTCATAAGAGTGAATGATCAGATAGGGCACTATTTTACAACACACAAAGGGTTGAGACAGGGGGATCCACTCTCACCCTTGCTTTTTAAAATTGCTGCTGATGCTTTAACCATTCTTATCAAAAGAGCAGAGTAACAGGGACTAATCAAGGGGTTCGGAAAGGATGTCATGAGAGAGGGGGTGGCTATTTTATAATATGCCGATGATACCATATGCCTGATCCAGGATTCTCTGGAATATGCAAAAAAACCTCAAATTCATTCCGTGTATTTTTGAGCAATTGACTGGCCTAAAAGTGAACTTTCATAAAAGTGAAGTTTTTTGCTTGGGAGAGGCAGCTGAGAGACAGGACTCATATAGCCAAATGTTCACTTGCCAAATTGGAAGACTGCCAATGAAATATTTGGGTGTTCCCATAGATCAAGTAAGAATCCATAACAAAGATTGGAAACCTGTAGAGGAAAAAATTGAGAAGAAGTTGGGGTGTTGGTAGGGGAAACTCCTGGCAATAGGAGGGAGGGTTGCTTTTATTAACTCTAGCATTAACAGTGTCCCACTTTATATGATGCCTCTATACTCTCTTCCTTGTGGAGTTAGAGAAAAAATTGATTTTTATAGAAGGAGATTTCTGTGGTAAGAAGATCAAGGCATTAGGAAATATCATCTAGTGCAATGGCCAATGATCTGCCTCCCTAAAGATCAGGGAGGGCTGGGGATTTTAGATTTAGATGTAATGAATAAAGCTCTGTTGGGGAAATGGCTGTGGAATATGGAGAATACAGAAGGTTTGTGGCAAGATATGCTAAGAAACAAGTATTTGAAAAAGAAAACTCTAACTCAAATCAAGCATAAGAATGGGGATTCTCACTTTTGGTCTGGTTTAATGGAGATCAAAAGCTGTTCTTGAGATTTTGTGACAAGAAGGTGGGAAATGGGGAGAGTACCCTCTTTTGGGAAGATAGTTGGTGGGGGGGGGGGGTAAACCAATTAAAGAGTCTGCTCCAAATCTTTATAACATAACCTTGACAAAAAATGTGACTGTGGCAGAGATCAAAAGGAGAGGGTTAGGCTCAATCAAATTCAGGAGAGACCTAAATGCAGTTAGACAGAGAAAATGGGCTAATATTGGTAGAGCATTGGACAATGTTAGTCTAACTAATGAAAAAGACAGACTGATTTGGAGACTGTGTAACAAAGGTTTGTCTGTTAAATCTTTCTACAGAGCTTTGATATTACAGGGGATCAATTATCCCTACAAAAAATGTGGAAAATCAAAGCACCACCCAGGGTGAAGGTTTTTTCCTAGCTGCTTCTAAGAAATAGTATTCTTACAAAAGATAATCTGTTCAAAAGGGATTGGAGGATGGGCTCGATTAAATTTCAATTCTGTGACAAAAGTGAATCCATCCAACATCTGTTTTTAGATTGCCCCATGGCTCACTTCATTTGGAGTGTTGTTGAATGCGCTCTCAATGTGAAGGCTGGCAGGAATGTGGGGGAAATGTTTAGCTCCTGGGTTTTGAAATTTGGAAAAGGGAATGGGAAGTTGATCATGGTGGAGGTTACAACAGTCTTGTGGACCATTTGGAAAGCAAGAAACAGAGCCTGCTTTGATGGAATTCTGCCTGTTGATCCTATAGAAATAATTTACACCATTTCCTCAAATTTAAACTCTTGGAGAGCAAGGAGGGAGACAGAGGAAAAATGCAGTGGGGGGCGCAGCTACTAAGGCAGGTAGCAAATGAGATCTTTGTAACATACTAGATTTTTCAGGGTAAAAATTTTGCGAAAATATTTAAAATCGATGTTCTTCGTTCTTTCGAATTGGAGCCTCCCAATCCCTATATTTCTTTTGTTCCCTCTAAGTTTCCGACTCCCACGTAACCTTGTTTAGTTTCCCTCCCCAAACAAAAATCCGAGATATCCCAAAGAAAATTCCCAAAATCGTCAGAAGAACTCATGTTTACTTTAAGTTAAACCGGAGTCATCATGCAAATGTTCTAAGATCCCAAATCCTATCAATTCCTATTCAAAAATATCCTACCAAAATTCCATACAAAAATCTCTCCAAAAATTCAAATAGATCACTGTATTTCTTCTCGGGCCGAGTTCCTTGCAATCCAGCCCATATTCCGGATTTCCTTTTCCCTGGTCACTCTCTGTGTTGGGCTGTTCTAGCCCATGTCCTGGCCCAGCCTAGGCAGGCCGCCTCCAGCTGAGCCGCTGCAGGCCGACACCGCTCAGGGCCGCTCGCGCTACACGCGTGCCGCCTCGTGCCCTTCCCGTGCTCGCACACGCTCGCCCGTGCCGCCTCACACCAGCCACGCGCCGATCTCCGATAGCCGTCGCGCGAATCCTAGCGAGAGGCTTTTCTCTGTTCCTTTTTCTCCTCCTTCTTCTTCCTATGGAAACACCGAGCCCTCCAGCTCATCCCTGCCCTCAAACCTCTCCAAACTGCCGCCAAGGTCACTGGCCAAATCCACCGTCGCCGGCCCTTTTTTCTGCCACAACAGCAGGCCATCAACTTCGCCGCTCATCAGTGAGGCTTCGTTCTCTCTTTTCCCTCTTTTTCAGCTTTCGTATCGAGCTTTTCCGAAGCTCCCATGGGCTGTCATGGCCATCACCATGGCCAACACATCCAGAATTTCCTCTTTATCAACTAACCACAAAAATGGAACCTTCTCATCCGGGAACGCGTTTTGACGCGCTCACCCGCCCGCGTTCGCCACCGGAGCTGCCACTTCCATGCCCGGTGTCACCATAGCTCCAGATCGCGTTCCGGCTAGCTTTGTTGTCTTCCAGCCCAGCGTACACGTCCTTTGGGGGTGTCAGCCGGTGGAACACGTCATGCTATCGTCTCCGTCGCCGTTCCCTCACTTAAGTTCTGGAGCCTTTCTCTCCACTTCTGTTAATCACGTGAAAAGTCACGGGAAGAAGATAAACAGTGCCGGCCAGCATTGTTTCCTATTGGTTGAACCCAACCAACCCCATCAAAACCACCTAAATAGTGCCCAACCACAATAAAACCAGTCCAAACAATTCTATTAGGTTGTTTTCCTCCTGTTCAAGCTCTAAAACACCAAATCATTTTCAGTTTTCACCTTTGTTATCTATAGCGTTACTCCCAAACTGCAACCACTATTACACATGCCATAAATCATAACCCTTGGATAAATTGTTTGCCATTCCAAATCAAGTTAACTCTCAATTTATCATTTTCTTTTGTTCGGGCTCTGATTCACAATATTTATTTTATCGTTTATTTGTAGTATTTTTATTATAGGCTTATTTGGTCATTTCTTTGTGTACGTACGTTAGATCACGTTGAAGATCCCACCGGACTCGCAGGAACTGAAGTGGACCAAGAAGGCTATGTTGAAGCTTCCGAAGGCCACGTTCCACGAGGCAAGCCACAGTTCCAATCTTTGATCATATTGAAACCTAGTAGAGAACCACTTAGTTATTTTATGCATTGAGTATTTATAAAATTATTTTGCGTATGAATTATTTTTGAATAAACTTGTTAGTTTAGTTATTACCCATTATTACATTGTTATTATTGGCCAAATCCATGATTGCTATATCACGCCCTTTGATAACCTAGGTGTAGATTTATATACTTCACAATAATATTCTAGTGGATAAGACCACCAAATATCTATACTCATATACATGGTTTACCCGTCGTCACGTGGTGGCGTGTCAGGTGATATAAAATATGTTATTTGATATGAGTCACTCGCCTGGAGTGATATGGAAGATTAATTCCGGGTGAAGATGGATGTTGTGGTGTGTGAGGCCGTGCATATTGTTATAATTATTTTGTGGAAAGTGTATATTTGCACTTGAAGTATGCACGGGCCTGTGCTAGTTTTGGTGGCTTTCCCCAGATATAAGGACTACCCCCTTATGCCATGAAAAATGATGTAATTTGCGCCCATCCACAGGACTGAGTAATCAGACTTAGCCTAGTACATGTCCCACTATATGAAAGACTGTAGGGTGGCTCTATGAGCAGGTTTGGGGTGGACATGTGGAAGGGGCTTTGGCCAGGTTGACATGATCCACAACGGTGGAACCCGTGAAAGCAGCGACCGTCTAGCCTTGCTTAGGCCCAGTAAGTGCCCGACTGCTAGGACGGATCAATATCCCACTGGGCAGTAACTAGTAGTAAGTGGGACTCTCGAACGGCTATGTTGTCCTCAGCCTAGCTAGCTGTTGACATCAGGTGGGTAAAGCTGGGCAGTCTCTGTAGAGATGAGTCTTAAATCATTCAAATGTGCCGTGCTTCCGGTTAAGAAGCTATGTCATTGGGTGATTCCTATTTATCATGGTATGAGTAGATTTTAAATTAAAATATGGAATATAATGAAGATGAGGATGAGTGGTGATTAATATTGCTACCGTTTTAAAATGATGATTTACAATTGTTTGCGAATAAAATGTTTGATAAAGTAGGGAAAAACTATTTATAATATGCTTGTTATGAAACCTCCTTGATGAACTATATTCTTTGTACGCCTTACATATATTCTATTTGTATTATTATGGATGTGGCTTCTGGGTACCTCGGTACTCACCTCTTGCATAAAATGTGGTTCAGGCGATTAGTTTTTCCCTGAGGAGGCACAGGAAGGGGAAGAATTCTATGGTGCTGACGAGTTCTTGTTATAAGTCGATCTGCTCTCAGGCGTTGCCTGTGGTGTTTTTATCCTATTTTGTGTTCGGGTCTTTTGTTTGTAGGGAGTGTGTTTGGCCTGTCGGCCCCTAAAACCTGTCTTAGTTATCTTTTATGTAATAATTTCTGTAAAAAGTTGGGTATATGTATTGAAAGCTGTTCTGTATATCAATCTGTGCGCGATCGAAATCCTGGACGGGTGGTTTCGGGATACCATACTCAAACCGGGTATCCCCACAATCTTTCACTCAAAATTTGGATGGAGGGGCGGCAGACAAAGAATAGGATGGGAAACAGAGGCAGGCTAAACTGATGGCGAAGAGTTTGAAGACGGCGATGGAAACCTGTGTTTTGATGCTTGAAATGCCAATATTTTAGTCCTGTAATAACTGTTTGTTTTCCTTTTTTTTCTCGTCTTATCTGTAAGAACTAGATGTTCTGGAACTCTTGTAATCATCTGCGTTTTATTTAATGAAAACGGGGGAGATACCCTCCCTTTCTAAAAAAAATAGCCATTTGGTATAGATGCACATGGTTTTTTAATCTCAAACGATTATATCAAGATGCGGATAATTGGATTTTTTTAAGAGAAAAAACAATTATATTTCAGAAAGGTGAAAAAATAATTACAAGGCTCCAATTACAGATCGTGAAGAGAAGAATGCAGCCAGTTTTAAAAAATAAAGTAAAGAAAATAAAACGATAAACAGCAAATTCACGTTGTTTCATGTACCCTAACGTACGTATTATAGCCGCTACCTGAAGATATTTTCGTTCTGCCAAAAACTATGGCCTTATGAATGCCACAACGATTATAATCATCGACCAATGTATACATTCTTAAATCATCCCGACACTCCTAACCAATCTCCAAATATCTTGGAAACTCTACTTTAAGTGACGTTGAAACAAAAGCCATCTGTTAATTTTATTACCTTTATTCTGATAAAAGGGTCAGGTAGACGGTTTGTTCTATAACCAAGCCTGAATTCTTCTATTAATGGATGACCCTTCTTCCATATCTTTGTGCTGTAACAATACGGCAGAACTGCATGTTTTCATTTTCTATTTTTTGTTTCCTCAAAGAAAGAATGGCTTAATATCACCAATTCCTATGGCAGAAAAAAGCATCCTCAGAGCAAGGTCAATAGTGCAGCCCATTACTACTCCAAATCATCTATAGCCAATGTAATAGCCAATTCATACAATAGTTGCTTACTATACTATTAGTACCTGGTCCCACCTGTCATATACACATTACGTCTTAGAGTCTGTGCTGCAGCTGGCTATATATCTGTAGCCCGCTGCTCTTCTCTCTCTTTCTTTATCTCTTCAAAATATGTTTATAGCCGGCTTATAGCCTGCTATTGTACCTGCCCTCGGACTGTACCTCTGTATCGATTATTTTGTTCCTCTAACATTTTCCTTTGTTCATTTCTAAATTCTACTGTTTCCAGAAACACAGAAATAAGCCAACAAAGGAATTGTACAGTAATGGATGGTAGTAGTGATGGGTAAACATATGGCCTGGCAAGCTGTTTGAATAAGCTAATTCACATATAGATCCTGCATTCATGCTTCTGGTTGAAGTTTCTGTGCAAAGAGAAATGCTAAAGATGCTGAATGATTCCTACAGATGGATCTCTTGCTAGAAATGCTAAATCCTACTAAAACACCATAGGACTAGCAAGTAAAAGTTATGTCCACACAATGTCAAGACAGAAGCATGTCACAGAGCATATATATATAGGCCACAAGGCACAAGTTCTACAGGTAATCATCACACAATACTGGATTGTTCAATTACATGAAACTTATACCATTACATCCATTCTTATTGTACTTGATAGGTGTTTCTGAACTTCTTACACAAAACATATGCATGTCTTGACCAGGTAAATCACTTCAGATTTTGACAAACGAGACAGCTGAACTGTTAAGTCTGCTCGAAACTGAAATGACCTGTGTAAGCATATATAAAAAAAGAAGTAAGCACATCAAAAGTCACATTAAGACAAACAGGAAGGCTCAGATAAAATTGAAAAGCACCAAGCTAACATGAATGTATTGCATAGCCCTAAGGGACATGAATAAGCATAGAGATGATCATAACTTTACTCATCCATCCAGATTATGTTGTAAGCTAACATATATTTCTAGTCTGGACACTGTCTAATAATGTTGTGAAGTTTCAGTTTGCTAGATGGTAGATACACACAAGCTGACATGGGAGATATGAGAGAAATGATGAATGTCTGCAGTTAACTTACTTCCAAAAGACCACAACTCCGTACGTTCAATGTTAATTTTCTTGCGAGGTACACCACAAGTGTTGAGAATCTGTAAAACTCTGCAAAGCACTACAATTTTCGAATATTTGATTTCAACTACTTTCAGTTTCTTGGATGCCACCAATTGCTCCTCTAGGTTGCAGCTTCCATCTGTTTCTATCTTAGCTTTTGGTTCCTGTAGCAAGCAAAGTACTCTTTAATATAAATAGGAAAACTACAAAAATAGCTTTAATAAACAAGAAGTTTTTATATCAAAGAATACAATCTCTTTTACCTCATACAGTTGAAGAGTAAGCTTCTCTAGTACTGGAGAGCTCCTCAAAATGTAAACCAATGGGCCGAAGCCAGCATCCGCATCCGAAACATTAAGCAATAATGTTTTTAGCTTGCTAAACGTTGGGCGCATAAGCAAATCCTTTCTGACAATGAACTGCATGAAGCACAACAGAATATGAACAATTTAACATCAAAACTCCAAAAGTTTTGACCCATACTGGATTAAATATGAGCATTCTGCAGGATTTATTTTATGTTTTGTAGTACAAGATTTTGCATGTTTATGTTTTTATAAAATACTTAAATGAGTCATACCAGCTAAATACACATCCTTCAATGGATACAACACTAATTAATCTCAAATCCATGCATTTGAATATTGTGCTGTTAGAAGTACTTGATACCAACGTACCGTATTGGCATTCACAAAAAAAAAAGAACATTAGGAAGATCTGCGTAGAAACATAATCCAACTCCACTCCTTACAAGAAAGAGTTCTTTGTGATTTAGAGATAATCAAATTTAAAAGTTATTGTGATCTGTTTAAGAATTCCGTCTTCCACTCATGTATATATGCATTTTATCAAATAATATACAAAACATTTTACGTCTAACGGTAACTTTTTTTAATATTCAAAATTGAGTTCATCTTTTTAATCTGTAGAAAAGCACAGGGAATAGGCTAGTCAATACTTTGCATGTATTATTTACTGATCATAGACAGGTTGCATGCATAGACCTTTGCAAGATAGAAAATGTATATATAACTCTAATTAGAATAAAAAAATGTAGCATATGGCATAAATGATACTAGGAGTTAGTATACATGCAAACATACCACTTTAGGTGAAGTTATCAACTCTAAATTGGTGACGTTCGACAGACCACCAAGAAGCACACAATCATCATCATGGACATCATAGAATCTAGTGCAGTATTTTCCACATGAAACTTGATCGCCACAATCCCCATAGTAACTGTGTAAGCAATAGTCTTCACAACGATCATCCAGCCTGACAAATGCTGTTGATAATGATGGCAATCTCTCAAGTGCAGGAGTCCAGCCCAGAATATCAGCAAGTTCTAAAGAAATAAGACTAGGAGCTGAAATATGAGTGCGAGTATTGAGCTCAAAATTGCACTGAGTTATGCTCAAACTTCTAACTGATTGGGACAATATCTTCTGCACCAAGATTTTACACCCGCGCATCACTAATACCTCCAATTTCAGGCAACCTGAAAAATCTAGAGAGATATGCCCCAGCTGCACACCACTAAATTCTAGTGTTGTCAAGTGGTTGGAGGTGATAGCCATCTCGGGTAATCGACAATAATCAGCTGAATGGGCAGTGTCTACCTGAAGCATCTCAACTTCACATGATACAGCATATTGGTACCATTCTGCAACTTCCCCATTGCGAAAAGAATCAAGCTCACATACATACAGAGGAGTCCGTTTGCGGTGCAGCAGAAGGTGGTGGACAAACTTGTTCAGCTGCTGAACACTGTAGAAACTGTCGACGTCGTTTATTCGAAGGGCAGGCACATACTTCCATTGGTGGCGCCAACGCTGGGAGAGCACACACGTCTGCACGGCCTCACGTGATGGAATGAAGGAGAGCAGGTATTGGAGGAGCTCATCCGGGAGAGCGCTTATGTGGTCTGCCCCATCAGCCATGACCACTTTCTTGTTTCCTTCATTTGTAAACTTCTCAGGCATTCTGTAAACATATTCCCAGCATCAGAGCCATGGACAGTTGTACACAATGTACAAAAGAAATAAGAGGGAAAATAAGCATGATAACCTAATATTTTCATTGCAAGAACTCAACTTATCTACCCGACGTTGCCGGCTGCAATGTGTAAGGGCAGATGAGATATCTCCCTTTTTCTTGCACAGTGCATGGAAAGGCCTTCCCCAATAATTGGAGACCTCGGTTCTACACATAAAATGAGGCCTTATATCTTTTGAGAAGATGCTAATAAAAAATAAAAATAAGTAAAATTCATTCTACCAGGCTAGAGCTATTTTAACACCTAACACCTTCTTGCTTGATCCACATCAAGGTCGATGGTTCTCTAACTATGTTAGGAGAGCTAATGACCAATCTAAAGTGCTCCTCTCTTTAACTATGCCTGCTACCAAATAAGCAGGAATTGTGCATGACCATTCACAACTAGATCTATGTATGCTGAGGAAGCACTTTCACTACGGTGGTGGCAATATGCCTAAGTAGGAAAGAGAAATGCACCCTGCTACAGCAATTCAGTTTTCCTTTCTAAATGGAAAATGAATCTTCAGTACCAAGAATGCATGTCCACATCATATTAGTGAGCTACAGATATCCGAGGTAACCCCTATTATGATGGAACACTTGTATTAACAACTGAGAAAAAAAATCATTCTAGCCGAATCAGAGGAATTTGAAGAAGAAAAAAAAAAGAAGACCATGAAATATGTTAGCTTGAATTGAAACATAATTTTTTTGGGACCACTAACTATTTTAGGGACGGGGGTGTGGGGTGGGGGATATGCGATTGCCCATCCAGTGCATGCCTAGGAATGGGCCTATTATTACTTGCTATGTTTCATGGATTTTCTAAACAAGCACCAGAATCATTTTTATCCCAAAATAGTTGAATAACTTACCTTTTATGTGTCAGGAATGTCGTCTTCTCTCTCAAGTTCGCCAATAGATTAGGTTTCTTGTTTTGGATCACGATAGCTCTCACAAGTTACCATACCTCGGAGGGGGGAAGAGGAGGTGGTGGCCTGCTGATCAGAGGCAGAAGTGGTGGAGGGGTCAAGAAGAGAGGGATTAAAATTTATGGGGCGGTGGCGACAGATCCAAAGGTTGTAGCCGCCCAAGAAATGGAAAAAGTGTGAGGAGGTGCTGCAGATAAAGCAGAAAAATGAAGACGGTAAGGAAGGAATCAGTGGAGATATGAGTAGTGGTGGCTGGGGTGACCGGAGTCCTTGCTGGTGGGGTGGGGAGGGCAAAGGCGGCGGCGGCGGGGAAGGAGGGAGGAGGAGGGCTTGCTGAGGTATGGGGTGTGGGCTAATTAGGGTAAGGAGATTGAGTCCATATCTAGTACACAATGTAGTTTGATCCAATGGTTAGAAATGAATTAGTTTTTTTTAAAAAAAACATGTGCCTTCTATATCTGCGGTAAGCTGGTCAAACTTTTTTTTAATACTAGTCATATATGACACCGCAAAGAGCACCTCGACCCTTTGTACTGTTCTTGGAGGCCTAACATTGCTATTGTCTTCTCTATTGCTAGAGCTTCACTATTACACACCTCTCTTGTGGCACTAGTCACACTTTCCCTGACAGCGGTCGGTCAGTTAGTCAAGGTTGGGTGTGGCCTTTACAGGGAATGGTTTGTGCGCACGGTGGTATGCCAAGTGCGGTGATGTTGGTGGTCTAGCGAGTTGCAACATCACAAGAAAGCAACATGCACAATGATAAATTGAGAAAAAGGACGTGCGAGTTGATTCTCACCGTGCAACAGTTAGGGAGCAGTACACCAGGCGGCAACACGAACAAAACTATGGGTGGAGAGGTTCCAGTCGGTGAAGGTCGAGCACGCGTTTCATCCTCGCGCTCTCGGCGGCCAGCAAGGAAGCGGGAGCTTGTAAACGATTTGTCTGGCTCGTGGCTCGTCGAAACGGCGTTGGCTCCCACTTGTCCTTGTCTGGGCACTGCCTTGAAGTGGCATCTAGGAGAAGTGGTGGCGTGCGGCTAGCTGGCAATGGGCAAGGAGAGTGGTGATGAGACCACAACACGGGCAGTGGTGGGGGAGGGGGGAGGGGTGGGGTACCTTTTCCGGTCATGAAGGCGACATGTGCGTGCCAAGTGGGAAAGGTGGAGTTGAGCCGGGCACATTGTTTTATAGACGCGGACGGCTTGACTCACTAGTTTGAAGGGCTAGGTGATGTAGTGGCGGTCATCGTTCTCGCGCTCATGTGGTTGATGCAAGCGGGTATGGAAGGTGGGGCTGGGCAATATGACGGTCGCGTCCACTTTCTGTGCGAAACCTAGATGAGGAAAGTGCGGCGATGGTTTGTGTGTGCAGTGCATCGGGGCAGCGTAGACAAGGGACTCCTGATGGTGTCAGCGCCCACCATCGATGCACTTGACCCAGAACAGTGGCTGCAAGGTGTGGTCATCATGGTAAAGGCGAGGCAACATAAGTCTTCATTGTGGGGCCCACATGAATGGTAGTGGATCTGAGGTGGATGGTATGGACAATGGTGCTTGGGAGCCGTGCACATTTGGAGAGGCTCACCGCAGCTTGGCCTGTTGTGACATGGCCTTGTGTGAGTGGCACGAGGCGTGGTGCGGCACACCTCGGTGCCAAGGCCACGGCGTGGATGGATGCGGCTGTGTGATGGTGATACATTGGTGGGGTGGCAGGAAGAGGCTAACGCGGGGAGGAATGGTTGGGATGCCAAAGTTATTGCCATGGGGCCCACTGGTGACACGCGCTACACGGTGCAAGAGCGGTCCGGCAAATGTGATGCACGCGGTATGGCTGAGCACGGGCGGTGCATGGACACAGCTGTGGTGGTGCGAAGCTTTTCCCACCCTGGTCTGGTGCGTCACAACGGCGTGTAGGCGATGTGGCTTCAAGGCTTGTGGCATAGCATACGAGAGGAGTAGGGCGGACAAATGACGCTTGGGGAGCAGGACTCAACAATGGCTTGGCGGCGTGGTGTGCCCAGCTAGGATTCGGTGCCAAGGTCACGGCGTGGATGGATGCGGCTGTGTGATGGTGATACATTGGTGGGGTGGCAGGAAGAGGCTAACGCGGGGAGGAATGGTTGAAATGCCAAAGTTATTGCCATGGGGCCCACTGGTGACACGCGCTACACGGTGCAAGAGCGGTCCGGCAAATGTGGTGCATGCGGTATGGCTGAGCACGGGCGGTGCATGGACACAGCTGTGGTGGTGCGAAGCTTTTCCCACCCTGGTCTGGTGCGTCACAACGGTGTGTAGGCGATGTGGCTTCAAGGCTTGTGGCATAGCATACGAGAGGAGTAGGGCGGACAAATGACGCTTGGGGAGCAGGACTCAACAATGGCTTGGCGGCGTGGTGTGCCCAGCTAGGATTCGAGCAACTGCACGGTGGTCTCTGATGGTGTCGGGGCATGCGAGCCATGTGAATTTTTCTTGCGAGCTCGTCGGCGGTAGGGGCACTATAGACTTTTCTGCACGGCGGTGGCGGTGGCAGAAGGAAGACGCTGGCTAGGCCCACAAGGAGTTAGACTTTGAAATTAATTTGTTTTTATTTGTAAAATATTTCCTTAATAGATATTAGTTCATAATCATGGTTATTTAATAAATATTGTTTGAGTACCATATTATAACTTAAAATTTGGATTTGATTTCTTTTGAATTAACCTTTTACTTTATTTAAATTTGGATTTGATTTCTTTTGAATTAACCTTTTACTTTTTTTATTTTAATTTTTGGCATTGGATAACAAGAAAAGGAAAATCCAATAAATACCATGATGATGCAAATTCGAAAAACATTTTTGTTTATTCCAAAATTTTGTTTCTAAGTTTTAGATTCGAACTTTTCAGGGTGTTACATAAGTCTGGAGCACCTAAGAGCATCACCAATAGCTATCATATTTCCTTCCCAAAACTGATTTTGGGGGTTTTTAGTGAAAAAAAATCTGATCCAACTGATCCGCAAAAGCCCTGTGCTAGTAATGGGTAGAAATTTGTTTGCTTTTTTTATAAAATAAATCATGTACCTTCTATATTTGTTGTAAGCTGGTCAAACTTTTTTTTTTACACTAAGTCATACATGGAACATCACAAAAGAGCACCTCCACCCTTGTTATAGTTCTGGGAGGCCCAACAGTGCCATTTCTAGAACATCACCACTACCTACCTCTCTCATGGTACCAGTCACACCTCCCTTGAGGTATTCCTCATGTCCTCATCATCTCGGTGGCAACATCTCTGAGGAAAGTCACACATCGTTGACATGCTTTCACTATGCCTCTTGCCATTTGTGTCCACGTCATAATGCAACTAAGCCATCAATCCCCAACAAGTCAGTAATAAATTTGTGCTGGACAAAATTCACCAATCGTATTTCAAAAGTACTACACCTGCTGTGGTGGTGAAATAATAATCACAATCAGTTAGACTGGGGGTGTCTCGATGCATGATTGTAGGCTGAACTTGATCTGGAAAACCTGGTGTTTGGTGATGGGGATTTAAGGCTATGACTGCACAGCTTTGGCATTGAGCAATCCCACAGCGCACACAATTTACCGAGGTTTGGGCCTTCCCAGAGGATAATAACCCTATTCGTACTTTCTTGATTGATATGAGGAAGTTGTTTCACATTGTGTGTAGTGCTCACGCTGGTTTGTCTAGAGCTCCTCAGGCCTTGGAGTGTTCTTATGTACTCAACTATCTCTAACCTCTTGTTGAGTAAGCCTTGCTAGCTTATATACCCCCGTAGGTGTTAAGTCCACCTAACCATTGTGGGGGCTGCTGCCAAGGCACCACAGACAGACATCACTATCTGCACTGTAGCTGTCGTCATGCCGTCCGACACTGGATCATTCCTTCTAGCCATGTTGTGCAGCTCTGCCTCGAGCCTACCACCAAAGAGACTGTGCCTCCCTTTCAATAGAATGGGGCGGTCAAAGACAAATGTTTGACCGATGCATAATTCACCTAATCACCTTCATTTGATGTCTTGATCCACCGTGAGCATCACTAATTAATGCGACATGACGAGGTGAGTGAGCACACTCCTTGCATGTACACCTAGTGTCAGGGCATGGGGCTCCCGGGAAAGGGGGAGGGTGTGGTCCTCACATCTTCCCTAGCATAAGGAATTTCCACATATGCGGGCATCAAGAAAATCAGCGAAGTAGACCGACTCTCGTCCTGAGTGCCGCCACGCATCACCTCCTGGGCAACCTTCCCATGGGCCACTTCGAGTTACCCCGTGCCCATGTGCCACCTTCCAGACAACCTCCACATGGGTGGCGGACCTAGGTCACCCTGCACACTGCCAGATATTGCCTTTTGACCAGCCCTCAGCCCCAAGCATAGCCACGAGCCGCCTCCTAGGTAGTCTTTTTGTGAAAAGCTGTCGATTGCCTCATGCATCGCCACATGCAGGATCATGAGAAGCTTCCCCATGGTCTGGTCCTAGGCATGTGTGTAGTTCTAGGCAGTCTAGGGCGTTCGTTGCTTCCCAACTAGCTTCCCATGTGGGCCTTGTTCCATGTGTCTTAGTGGGTCAAGTGGGATGGCCCGACGCCTAGCCTACTAGCCTGGATGTGATGCTATCATGTGAAAGAGCATATAGGACCCTAGTGGGTTATGGCTAATTGATGACAAATGATAAAGGAATCAATGTGCTTATTGAGTGTATAGGTAGGAAAATAGTCCAATGATGAAGATGATGATGATGAAGATGTTGTTCAATGAGGTTTCATGGTGATACAAGGCTATAAGTGCCTGAAGATGGCAATATGTGTTGAAGGATTGGCAAGATTGTCTATGCAAAGGACAATGAATAGGAGAAGGGAAGCGGGGGCTTGGCACTGAAAGACTGATGATGTTGTGACGGTGCAAGTGCTTGGTTGAACACACACGGACTGTTCGCACCAGTACCTGAAGGCCCTTTTGGATGGAATTAGACCATCCAAATGATCTTTCATCATGGAGCACCATACATGTGACGCTGACATGGTGAAATGATTCGATATTTGAAGTTGAGTGTTGAACAATGTGAATAGTAGTTTACATGGTTAAGTGGACAACTAAACTTGAGGGGATTGGAGATCTAGATAGTTAAGGAGTTCATATGGGACTCTCAGGCTAAAGAACAATGCACAAGAGGATGAAATCCCGGTATGGCATACATGGGAGGTGTGTGGTTATGGAAAAGGAGCCATCCATCCAAATTTAGGAAGGTTTCAGTTTGACTTTGTTAGGGATAAAATGTATTCCTACAAGGATTGAATTTATATGCATATATGACTGTAACAGTATATGAGTAGAACGGC